CTCTTGCAGATATAGTCCAGTGTCTATACACGCAGAGCAATAATCCTCCCTGAATTTCCTGTAATCCCATCGGTCCAAGATGGAGGCAGGAGGATCAAGAATCTAAGGCCAAGGCCGGCCTGGGCTACACAAGACCCTCTTTTAAAACTAAAAATGCAGAAACTCTTTGAAGAAGGGAAAGCTGACAGAAGCCCTGTCAGTCTGTCGTGGCTTTAAGTCACCCTAAATGAAAGTAGACTGTTTCCACAGGTCTCCCTGGGGCCCCTGCCCACACTGTGTCAGTGCCCATTTTAATGGATGAGTATTTTGGAATACACTTCATCAATTGACATTATCGCTGTCAGAACATTCTCAAAAGATCTTTGTTATTGATCCTCAACAGTTAGGCGTTCATTCGCCTGGGCATTTGTTGTTAATGGCCCCCAAAACCTCTGATCTGGTCCACAGCAGCCCACAAGCTGAAGTCTTCGTCCTTGCCCCCTGCATGGCTCCGTGCACACAGGGGAGCAGGCTACCATTTGCCTGTGTTGTACTGTCTCAGCTCGTTAGCTTTGCAGTGTCACGTGTGTCGATGGTGAACACAGGTGTACATACCTGTACAGAGGTAAAAACCTCCACAAAATGTCCTCATGTCTGACCGTCAGCTCACAGCTCCTGCGTTCCTGCATTTTATGCAGTTTCTAATGAAGAAAAAAATAGAAATCTGCTCTATAATGTGAAAGGATTGTGCTCTGTATGTGGTTCGTCATGAGATCTCTGCTGTATGTTTTTGGAATGATGATTGTATGTATTCACAGTATGTAAGAGCTATGCTGTTCGCTGTTGCGTAAACTTAACAGATTCTCTAGTCCGAATATTTAACTTGTGATTGTAAAATGTGATTTCTCATTGAGAGACTATTTTTCTGTATGTATATGAGAGTATTTTAGGAATCTAATTTAAGTGCATAAACTAAAGAAGAAACTTAAAAAACATATTCCAGGAGTAGAAATGCTTGATCAGATAGATCACTTGGGTTCAACCCAACTAAATTTTATTAAAAAAAAAAAAAAACAAAACAAATCCAAGTTGAATGTTTAGGAATTCAAAAGCGTGAATTTTTTTTATGCCTTGCAGGGACATGGTGTCAAATGGGTGAAGCCATGATAAAAGGGAAGGGATCCAGTAGCCATGACCCGGGATGACACCAAGTTATACTCCAGGTTCCTTCACGCTGATGCCGTCATATTCTGAAGACCGAGAGGAATGGCTTGCCTTCCACCAGGCCTGGCGCCACAGACTGTGGGCCCTACTCAGGAATGTGGCGTGGTCAGAGAATTCAGGGAGGCCGCATCCTGGCTCCAACCTCTCTCACCATTTTGCAGCAGACATGGCTGAGCCTGGGTTTTCTAGGCCCAGCTGTTAGGCTGGCATGACGAACAGGTAGCCCACGGCTTCCTGGAGGCCCATGGTGAGGCAAGAGGCCGGCCTTCCCTAGTCCACCCCTTCCCAGAAAAATAACAGAAACCCAGGCTGCTTCTGAGCACAGTTCGTCTGTACTTGACCACTGAAAACATTGTGTCAGGTGACTCAGGGAGGGTTCATGAAACTTAGTGTTTAACCTCCTCTCCAACCCCCCTCCCCAAGAGTGTCACATGCGACTTTAGTTAGCGGTGGCCGCCAGCCCAGCTGTACACAGCTGATCAGAAATGCCCTTCAGTTAAGAGCTGGTTTCTGGTGCTGGCAGAATACCGCCCACCGCAGGAAGTCTAGGAATTAAAAGCACACAGGTGCTCGAGCACTGGTCCAGCACTTTTTTCCATCCGTGTTGCCTCTTTATAGTGCTACTATAGGCTTCGCACTGGTGGATGCCGAAGTCCAAGAGCAACCCTGACTGCAGAGATGTGGGCAGCTTGGTTGCTGAATGCCTCGTGGATGCTGCAAACGCTCGCAGAGACTGTGTCCTGTAACCGCCCCTAGTCCCAAAGATGGAGCCGTTTATAGAGCTCTCTGCCCAGATGTGGACCAGCCACGTCAGGCCAGCTTGCAGGACTGTGCACATTCCGGCTTCTCTGTCCACACAGACCCTGCTCCTTCTCTCCTGGAATGACAGCCTCTGGGCTGGGGTGGCCAAAGGCTGTGAGGATAAACTGTCCCTTGGGCTGGGTTTTCCTAAATCTGCACGAACATGGGGCCCTCCCCAATGGGGTTGGTGAGGTTAGCTAGCCTTTGTGATCTTTGTAGTGAGACATGGCCGGTGGCATTCGGACCCTTCACAGCCCTGCCCAGGCCACTCCCCTGATGGATGTCCTATTCATTGTCATACATACTTGCTGCTCAATGACAGCATTTTTCATGGAGATCACATCATCTTTATAACATTAATGGAATTCTAAAAAAAAAATTAGGTATTATAAATTGTAGAATTCCACATTTGTCCAAGATTTGCTGAAGCAAGGATGCATAGCTTCTGTTTGTTTAAAAAGTTTTTTTTTCTTTTTTCTTTTTTTTTTTTTTTTTATGTCAGAACACTCCTTTGGCACCTCATTATGTGTGAAATGTTGTAATACCCAAGAGGGCATTGTCTACTTTTTTTTGTACAGACACAGTATCAGTAGAAACCTGGTGTGTGCATCTCCTCAAAAGGACAATCTCCTCAAACGATTCTTTGGTCATTTTGACCTGTACAGTTGAAATCACGTAGTTCATGAATAAAACAAAAACATCCAACTTCATTACCATGGACTCTTATCCTGAGCTCTTTCTGCCTCTTCTTTGCAGACATACAGGACGCTCACAGCCCTGAGACAAGTGTCTCTTCCTGCATCTATTTCCCAGAGATAAGGTTATAGTCGTACAAGAAAAATGATGAAAAACAAAACAAAACAAAAAAACAATGTAAAAGAGCAGAACAAGGCAGCCGCCATCTTTTCTAACTGTGCCTTCTCAGACAGTTAGCTCTGTGGAGATCCCTTGTGTTGAGTGCTCCTGAGAGCGTGAGAAATTCTGCCTTGTGCAGCATGAGGAATGCTGGCGACACTTAGTAGGGCCAAAGGCAAACTTGGTAAGCCCAGAGAGGCACAGGAGAAACAAACCCACAGAGCACTCCCTGGGGCTATTTTTCCACACCAGTGTTTTCTGCTTGTTGGGCAGGGTGACCCCTGCCTCATCCCCAAGACTGAGGTTACAGGCATGCACAGCTCGCTTCAGCGCTCATTAAACTTTCGGTGCCCTTCCTGGTCAGCACAGCATCACTGTGCACTGCTCAGCAGTTAGTACACACTGTACCCCAACACAAGGACCGTTCAGTTGTACAGCTCATAGAAGCCTGATTTTGTTCGCTTTCTCAGTTGTTTTACACAGCTTGGTTTCTGAGGGCTGTATATATAGGACTTGGTTGTTTGGCTGTGTTCATTACCGTGATTTAGGTACCAAATGGCTGCATCGTGATAGGTATTTAGTTTCTTATTATTTCTACTGTTGGGTGGCGGGGCCCAAGTGCGTTCTCTGCAGATGCTGGGTTACGCGTGCTCGTGAGCGGCCTGACTTGGGCCGTGGGTTAGAGCTCAGGGCCTCGGGAAGAGCAGTGCTCTTCACCCTATACTTTGGCATTTTGTTCTGCTTTCTGGGATAGGGTTTTGGTATGTATCACAGGCTGACCTCAAAATTCAGAATGTCCTGCTTTGGACTTGAGGGCTGGTGCTAGGGGTGCACCACCCCATAACTTGTCTGGAAGTATTAGGAAGGGCACGGCATGGTGGTGAGGCTGGGTGTGATGGTGCAGCCCTCAATCTCATTCCTTGAGAGGCAATCAAGGCTACCTCAGACTCACGGCCAGCCTCATCTAGAGTTCCAGGCTGCTGTATTCCACAGTACATTGCAGCCAAGGCTCTGGGGTCATCTCTAGCAACTTCATGAGGCCACACTTGGAAATGTTCCAGCATTCTGTGCCCTTCAACCACAAGATGGCTGATTCTGAAGGATTTGTAGGATAATCTGTGCTGCCTGAGTGGGAGACTGCTTCAGCAGTGGGGCTTTCTCCCTTGTGGTGAGAGCTCAGCAGTCAGTGGGAAAACCTGGCAAGCTGATGGTGCCTTTGGCATCACCTGGCCTTTGCCCTGGCCTGGCTGCTCTGGATCCTGCTGTGTCATTTGTGTCCAGGTGGAAGAAACCCCCTGTGGACTGCCCGGCTGCGGTGAAGGCAACCTGGCCATGCTCGTTTCCTCTTGGTAATACGTAGCCTTGTGGTGGACACTTTAAAGAGGCTGGCCGTTATCGGCAGCCCGGCTCACCGGTGAGGTAGGGGAGCTGCTAGCAGGCCAGCTATTGGTCTTGGCATTCTTGGCTTCTGGGAAAGCTGGGTCCTGGGTGCTTGTAGTCCTGTTGGTAGGCAGCTTGCCAGGCATGATGGGCAGGTGAAGAGCACACAAATCGTAGCATGTAGGGAGTGGAACCCTGATCTGTCCTGCCCTTTAGGACTTGTAGCTGCACTCTTTCTGCTTCTCTCTGAGGCACTGTTGGGAGCCCTCTCAAGTAGTCAGTCTGTTAGGCAAAGGCTCTTGGGAGTGGTCAAGGAGGGGCTACTGGCTTTTCTAGCAGCCTCAGCAGCAAGCTTTGAGGTGAGGATGTGGGAGCTGCGGGGCTATGGGTGGAATGGGAGCATCTCAGGACCCTGTGAAGGGACACAGGCGCTTGTGTGTTAGCCTGGCTGGCTCCAGCAGTGGTCACAAGGAAACAAGCATGAGATGGAGATGGCAAAGCAGGGCCCTCACCACCAGTTGCTCAGCCACGTTACCCTGAGCAAATCATGTGTACAAAGGGGAGGTCCGGTTCTACTGGAGCACAAGATTGCTAGGTTATGTGAGAGAAGCTCCAAGTGGCCTTCAAGTCAGGGCACCCTACAGTCAGGGGCTTTATGTCAGGACTGAGAACCTTGCAGTAGGGCCTCCTTTAAGACTGGCTGGGACCAGTTCTCACCCACCCCTCAAAGACGAGATTCTGGTGAGTAATGCCACAGTATAGAAGGTATAATGTCAATTTAATCAATGAATTCCTCAGTTAACACAGAGACACCAAGTCCTCCAGCCTGAAGGACTTTCTAGCCTTGACACCAGAGGAACCCTGAGGAGGATGAAAAGCTGGCGCTGTCCTTACAGGACAAGGAACTTCAAGTCCTCTGTTCAGGAAGCATTTTATTGTTGCTCCAAGGACGAGAGCTCTCTTGGGTGACGGCTTCTCAGAGTAACTCTCGCATGGCCTGGCTGAGCTTCTGAATCTTGCTCTTTGTGGACATATCAACGTACTTCTCCCCGATTCGAACAATCATCCCACCCATGACTGATGGGTCGGTCTAGGGAAGAAAACAGGTCGCAAATGTGGAAACACAGCACTCTCTAATCAGGCAGGCCATACCTAACGCAGATGGGAACTATGCAGAATCATAGCCACTTCCGCATAAGCTCTGCAGTGACAGACAGGACCAACGTCGCCGACAGCCGCTGCGGTCAGACAATGCAAGGGAACAAAGCACAGTGATTCAAACCCACCTTCAACTCCAATTTCAGGACTTGGCCTTGACTCAGGAAGCTCTTGAGCACCAGCTTTAACTCAGTGAGAACCTCTTCCTCTAAAGGCTGAAAAAGAACCGACCATCCTTTAAACAGAGCACAACAGCAGCGCACACAGTTAGAGGAGAGGGAAACACTACAGTGCACATGAGGCCAGGACAGGCCTGTGACTCCCGCCTGACGCCTGTGCCTGTGTGACAGGGGAAGTGGGGCTAGACAGCGGCTGCGCCACAAGGTGCCTGCTGATGTACAGGTTCCAGGCAGACAGCCTCTGCCTGGAGAGCTCCACAGGGGCCCTCAGACACCCAGCCACAGGCTGGACAAGGCCAGTGGCTGCACGCTGCAACATCTACTCATGCTTGTGCACCAGCTTTCCTGTTTCGGCCGAACCCTGCCCTGGGGAGACACCACAGCCACTGTGGGAGGGCACCGAGTGCACATGAGCGAGGGTTTCTCAGAAGAGGCCTATGTTCAGATCCTGGGCGCATTCTGGGGAGCCAGGTTTCAGTTTCTTGACTAAGGACAACTATACTTCAACTTTACACCCATCCTTGGAGGGCAGTAACCTATTACAAGGTCCCAGCAGATGGCAGCACCAAGAAATGGTGGCTAGTTACTGCATGCATCCTAGCGGCTCAAAGGGTCTGTGTACCCCAACACACAAGTAAACACTCCTGTCCTAGAACTTAATATGGTGTTTAAGAACTCAGACTAACAGGACCTAAGTCACTATTTCACAAAATGTTCAGATGTCCTTTAAATGCAGCCCAGATCCCATGACTAATCACTGGACACCTGGCCTTGTGAGTGGAGGCTCCCAGAAGCTCCCAAGCTCCCCACGTTGCCCTGTGCAGTAAGAGCATGCTACTCACAGATGCCGTGGTCACTGTGCATGGCACCTCCCCACGGTGAACACTCATGATGGTGGAAAAGGCGGAGATGACTCCCTGGGTGTTGCCTAGGCGACCGTTTTCAGCAAGCAAATCTGGGAAAGCGACAGGAATCTCACTAAGTCAGATGCAAAGCAGTGTCAACATTTAGCCTGAAAACACCGGCCTCAAAGTCCTCCAAGAAAGTGAGTGAGGCCTGGAGAGATGGCTTAGTGGCTATGCGCAGAGAGCCCACACTCAGTTCCCAGCTCACACATGGTGGCTCACGGCCACCATCCAACTCCAGGTCCAGGGGGGCTGATGCCTTCTTTTGACTTCCTGGGGCACCAGGTCTCTCTCTCTCTCTCTCTCTCTCTCTCTCTCTCACACACACACACACACACACACACACACACACACACACGCACACCTACACAGCTGAGACAGCTATCTGGGAAAAGCCAACGGGGAAGGCCCCCACGCTCACTCATGAGGTTGGCCGTCAGCTGAGAGAACTTCTCCTTCGTTGTGATGTCCTTCAGGCTTTTCACTTTGATGGAGCGCTTGATGTAGGGATTGAGGACAGCGAGAGACACCTTGGGGTCCTTTAGGAGTTGCTGAAAGTACACACACGACCCCAGCTGCTTCAGTTTTTGCTCTTGACTTTACACGAGATAAAGACAGTCTTTGAAGAGCTTTAAAATCGCCTGATGAGGTTTCTTATATGTATTTTTAAGGAGAGTTAAGAATCAAGCAGACAAAGCCTCACCATTTATCTTGTCATGTGTGCCATGATAAGGCCCGTTTTCCTTACCACCCCACCCCTGAGCTTCTTTGTCTCAGAGACCCTGACTGGGCACCTCCTCCTGCAGAGCTCCGGGGGCAAGATGTCAACAGGCACATGGGTTAGAAAATACATACTATTCTTAAAACATATAACTGCACAAAACACCTTTTCTCTAGAGTGACTGACTATCCACTTGCTCAACTCCTCCTTTGAGGGGCAGCGACCCCAGAGGAAACAGAAGCAGACAGTCTCCGGTCTAATTCACACTTGGGTTTCTGCTAATTCACAAGGGTGATAGCCTTCTTTGTGTTTCACGAGAAAACATGGAAAGAAAAGTACTTTTCTAGGTGGCCTTGGGCCTGTCAGTTCTGTCTCATTACAATGCCCAGCCATTCTTCCTTCACATCTGGGGAGTAAGGTAATTACAAAAACCCAGGAATGGCAAGATGGCCCAGTGGGTAAAGGCACTTGCTGCCAGGGCTGCTAACTGAGTCTGAACCCTAGAACTCACAGTGCAGAGGGTGAGGGCTCATGCACTATGCCCAACACTCCTCAACTCCAAAATAAGAGAGCGTAATTAAAAAAAAATTTCAGGAAGTTTCTGAAGAAATTTTCATGAAAATACAATTTTAGTAAAGCAAAAATAGACTCAAAAGACACTTTAATTATTCTAGGTTGACAAACATAAACTTTGTCTTTAAATTCTCTTCTAAAGTGGCAAGTGCTCTTAAATCATGCTTGGATTTTCTTTCCTAGCTGGAAGCTTGGCTTACAACATTAGCATCCTAGCTCAGATTACACAATAGTTTCAGAATAATAAAGTGTCCTATTATTAACAGCATGTCCATAATAAACATCTTTTGTAGTTTCTGGTGACTTTTTCTTATAGGTCATACCCCATTAGGAATGTGCAGCTAACTAACTGAAGGCAAAACTGGAACAGGCACCATCAAGAGAGCTACTCACCCCCACTCGCAGCAACTCCTTTTCCACCTGGTCCAGCTTATTCTGTTTAGATGCCGCAGAATACAGGGCAGTGGCATAGCGCCCTTCGATACCATATATCTGAACAGGGGGCTGGAAACACAAAGAGGGAAGGCAGAGCGAGGGAGCAAGACAGCTGAGTCAGGAACAGAATTACTTACAAGTTAACAAGCACTTCCTACTGCCAAACCATTTAACTACCATCGAGCAGTGCTAATGAGGAAGAATTCACATTCTCATTAGCATCGTCTTGGCCAGGACCCCCTGCCTTTGGAGGGGCGAGAAGGCAGTGTCCAGCCTCTCTTCCAGGTCTACCTACCTACGATTGTTTACAATGAGCCTTTGCTTTTTTGAATTTAACAACAATGTCATCCCTCGGCACAGGAGGGTTTAGCAGGAACAGCAGACAGTTTAGAAGATACTCAAAGGAGAACAGTGTGTAAGAAGTGCACAAGTGCACACTTTCCCCACACTGTTATGGTTTTTCAGGAAGTTGTCAGGAGGAATAAGATGGCTCCATTCAGGTCTTAAGGAACTTGGTGCAGTTAAGAAGGACGGATGTGTCCCCGTAGGTTCCACCTACTCCTCCCTAGTGCATGCTGCTCTGCTATTTCCCGGAAAGGACTGGTACAGTTGACTGGCCTGGGTGCCAGAGAGCATATGACACCCGAGAATATCTTCAGATCTGTAAGCTAAGAAAGCTGGATAGATTCTGGCACACACAAACTACTAATAAAGAATTATAAAATAACATATACACATGCAGTCTGTATTGGGTAACAGGGCTTGGAGCTGTCTGCACCAAAGGCCAGTCAGACTTCTGTTTAAAAAGGAGCTGGCAGATTGCTGCAATGGTTTGACTGTTGGTGCCTGTGACACCTGTCAACACTGATTTTGTTTGGGGAGAAAAGGTGCAGAGTGCAAAGCATGCCTCATTAGCTGCCAGAGCAAAGCAGCAGCCAGGGGCTGCATATCAACTCCTGTAAAAACCACATGAGAATCTGTGCTTTTTGCTTTCTTTTGTTGGAAATATTTTCTCCGTAAAAAGAAAACAGAAGGCTAGCTTGTCTACAGAGGATTACAAGGAAAAACAATTTAAGATTGTTTTAGACATAAAGTGTGTGTGTGTACGTGAGCACATATGTGGAGAACAGAGGATAGAATACAATTTGCAGGGTCTCTCCTTTCATCACATGGGTCCAGGGATTGAACTTTGTAGAAGAACATATGCTAACATACCCTCACAAGCTTGGCAAAGGGCCTGACCGCAGAGGTACTGAAGCTCCGCACCTTTAGAACAAAGGAAAATAGATCAGACGGGGTATGGGAAGGACTTCTGCATTAGCTCAGCAAAATGTTAAAATAATCTAAATGAACAGTTGCAAATATCCCTTCACATTATCACACAGGTTATAGAAATGGGATCCGCTCTTTATTACCTGTAAATAAATTCCCTATTGAGAATCATCCCAAATAGCTTCAGAAACTGCCTTCCCACCACCTTCCTTGCTGGATAGTTGAGAGAGAAAATACTAACTTCCCTAAACTGAATTAAAAAAAAAAAAAAAAAAAGAAATGTATTACCTTTGAGAAGATCGTTTTTTGAAAATGGAGGATTTATAACACCTTTGAGAAAAACTTGAATGCAGGTGGGAGGAGGATTCCAGTTATGATTTAAGCAAATATACTTGCATAGGAATTGAAATGCTAAGACCAAACATTAACTCTCTTGATAGAGGCACTAGGCTTCAGGTCTTAAAAGATGGCTTGTGTTTGTCAAAGAAGCCTGGAATCCACAGTTTAAAAAGTGAGGCACGGGTCACTGTCACATACTTCCAGCTCCGGAATGTACGAGATTAGAATTGGCTATGGAGATGAAAAAGCTTTCTAAAGCCTTGGTAAAAGTTACATCTGCTGCAAATGGAAATCATCAAGGCAGATGATCCAGACACGTATTTTCTCCACCCAGTTCCAGGTTCTGTTGGACTTGACGGGTTCCAATCCCAACCATCACCTAACTGGCTGCCCGTCAAAAGCCAGTTAACCCTTTCTTCCTTCTTTATAAACACATGGAATGCTCTTTACGAACACTCAACGTTCCTGACTGAGCAGAAACTGCTAGTCTTGACAGGTTTACCAACATGGCTACAAGCGTCCTTTCCCTAATCCTCTCTCTCACGCCCTTGCTGGCTGCTCCTCTGCGCAGTGAGCCCTGGATGTCAAGGTCAAGACAGTGCAATCCCGTGCCCACTCCCCACGGGGACGAAACCCGGATCCGCTCCATGCTGCCCCAGTCGCCCGGCTCCACGGCCCCAGGGAGCGACCTGACCCCTCAGTCACGGCCGCGCACGCGGCGCTCGGAGCCAGGGACCGGCCACCCGAGGAGGGACCCTCCCGCCAGCTTCTACCTGTAGGGACAGCCGAGACGCTGCTGGGGCGGCCATCTTTTCTCGGGCGGCTGTAGGTCAAACCCAAGTGGGAAGAGCGCAGTGGCGCCAGAGCGCACGCGCACGCCGGCGTGACGGCTCGGCTTCCGGGGAAATGCACACATCAGGTACCAGGGCGTATGGGTAGAAATCTCTTGCATGCTGGGAGTTGTAGTCCATAGGCGCAGTGTTCAGGTTGGACTCTTGAACCCGAACGAGATCTGGAAATTAAATCTGAAATTAAGGTTTACACTTAGATTCTTTTCACATGCATCGTCAACATCATTGCCTCGTCTAGAACTCTGCCAAAGTGAGCTTCTGTGGCAACGCTTCATGCTTCATTTAAAACAGAAAACAAGCGAACCTCCTAGGGATGCAGGTGTTCTCTCCTTCCCAGGCCTGATACAGTTTTCTCTTACCCTCCTCCTCCTCCTCAGTCTTACAAGAACCCGGACTTGCTAGATTTTGACGACGTGTGCATTACAGGATAGGACAGAGTAAGACGCGAATGAGAATCAGGTTTTTATCAAAGATGATATAGAAAGTAAAAGCCAACACGAGCCTTGGTCAGTTTTTCTACATTCATAAAACTAATCCATTTTCAACACAGGCTCTTAATTTTCTCTTTCACGGCAAAAGCAGTAGACGTCCAACGTCAAGGATCCTGGATATAATACTAAGTTTAAAAGAAAACAAACTTTGCTGCTCAGATTTAGTATAGGAATACATTTTGGTTGATTTGCCCCTCTTAGGGTATAATATTTTCATCATCATCATTTTTTTTTAATTGCGAGAAGTAGGAAAACGCACTCCCTTCTTTTCAACCACCCAGAGGCCCCTGCTGTCAACACTGTGGTGAACTGTTCACCAAAAAATTTTAAGGCTGCAGACTGCCAGGCTTGAATCTTCATAGTTTTGTGACCTTGGACTAATCATGCAAATGTTTCTGTCCTCATTTTTCTTAGCTATAAAATCGTTACTATAGTATCGTACATGTCTTACACTGTGTGAGGAAAATTAACATATTTTGAGTATATAGAACAGTTGACAGAGTTCTTTATTTTGTGTTTGTGCTTTTTATACACACAGATTCACAATCTATATATACTTTATTATTTTGCCTCTTTTCTTAATGTGAGCAAAAATGGATACAGAATTAGATATGAGTTGTGGATACAGTCATTTAAAAATTATTTTATGTGCATGAATGTTTGTCTGTATATATGTATGCTCACCATGTGTGTGCCCGTTGCATTGATTTCCGTGGAGGTGGAGTTGGGGCAGTTGTGAGCCTCCATGTGGGTGTTGGAACTGAACACAGGTCCTCTGTAGAAGCAGCCAATGCTCTTAATCGCTGAGCTGTCTCACCAGCCTCATGAATACATTTTGTGTAAGCAAATTTCTAAGTTGTGACATTTTAATAAACATGTCCATGACTGCATAGTAATCCATTTGATTCTGTAATTTAATCATTCTATGACTTTTCAACATAATTTACATGGCCTATACTTACTTTGTTCATTTTGAAAGCCCTACATATCTGGGGATCTTTAGACACACTTTTTTCATGTTTGGATAATTTACGAAGTAGAAGTTCAGAATTGCACAGATTGGCAAGTGAGCATGAGCACATGGGCACATGAAGGGAAGCTATTTTTCTCCGGTTTACACTCTCACTTCTCATTTACGCCATTGCTGCAAATTAATTTTGGAGGCTATTTTTAAATGAGCCTCAGGAAGAGCATACTGAAGCACAGTTTATTGACCCTCTCATGTGTAGACAGTGTTTTATATCCCAAGATACAGCAAGGTATATACAGAAAATCAACCTGCTTGCCTTCACAGGCCATACTGGTTTTTGTGAACTTGATACAAATTGGAGACACCTGGGAAGAAGGACCTTCAGCTGAGCAATTGCCTCTCTCAGCCTGGCTTGTAGGCCAGTCTGTGGACTATTTTCTTGATTAATGATTGGTGTGGGAGGCTCACCCCCCTGATGGCAGTGCCAGCCTGTGGCAGGTGTAAGGCAGGTGTCCTTGGGTTGTATATGAAAGCAGGCTGAGCCAGCCATGGAGCAAGCCAGGAAACAGTCTCTACTTCAGTTACTGCCTTCATGCTCTGCCTTGAGCTCTTTTTGTTGTCTTCTCTCTGATGAACTGTTACTTGGAAATGGTAATGGAAACAAACCCTTTCCTTTCCCCAAGTTGTTTTTGTTGTGATGGTGTGTGTGTGTGTATGTGTGTGTGTAGCTCTGGTTGTCCTGAAACTCAAGAGATCTGCCTGCCCCTACCTCCCAAGTGCTGGGATTAAAGGCATGCTCCATCACTGCCCAGGTTGTTCTGTGTCTTATCACAGAAAACAAACAAACAAACAAACAAACAAAACAACTAGGATATGAACCTTATACTCTATGCAAAATCAAACCATAACATTGTATTTCCTGATGTTTAGGTACATGCAACTTTAAAAGCAACTTGGGTAGCAATATATATAATAGAAATTAAAAGTTCCAGCTGGGTGGTGGTGCACGCCTTTAATCCCAGCACTCAGAAGGCAGAGGCAGGTGGATCTCTGTGAGTTTGAGGTTAGCCTGGTCTACAGAGTTAGTTACAAGACAGCCATGGATACACAGATAAACCCTGTCTTGAAAATCAACAATAAAAAACCCAAACAAACAAACAAACAAACAAACGAGAAATTAAAAGTTCCTGGCTCAAATACCCTTGGGAAATTGTAGACCCTCTACTGCACTGACTTTTTAAAATATTCTGTTAGTTTGTTCTGTAGCAAAAAGGTGTTTTCTACTTACTTTTTATTGTTCATTCCACTCTAGCATAATCAAAAATGGTAGTTTATGGTTGTTTAAATTTCAAGGGTTGCATGCATTTTGAGTCTCAGGATGACTCTCAGGTGTGGTGGGCCTAGTGTGTCTCTATTTTATGGATGGCAAAACAGACTTAGATTGTTTAAAAATTAGTTACGTCACAGTCAAGGCCAATAGAATAAGACAGACATGCTCAAGGGCAGGGCTATCCTGGGAGCAAACTCAGATATTTGCAACCTTATCTGTTTTGTTTTCTGCTGCCTTCCAACTCAAGACAAACACCAGTCACTGTTGTATCTTCTGCACAAAGGTGGAAACAGCAGCATGGCAGCCTGAGGCCTTCAGGGGCTCATGCACATGTTTATCATTATTGTGAGCACACGCGCTTGCCACAGAATGCATGTGAGTGTCAAAGGCAGACCTTGCACAGTTTGTGCTCTCCTCCTGCCTTTCTGTGGATCCTGGGGGAGCAAACTCATGCCATCAGGCTTTCAAGGCAAGCACCTTTACCGTCTGAGCCATCTTGCCAGTCCCTGAAATGTGTCTTAAAATTAAATGACTTGCTCTTTAATTCAGAAGGAACCATTTTGAAATTACAGTATTCAGAAAACCCAGATGAAAAAAAATCAGACTTTCAGGAACAACTTATATAGTTCCTTACCAGAGACCCAGGTGAAGGTTCATGTCCTAATTCTTCAGTGCACTCACTTAAAAATTAAAATTAAAAAAGGAAACATACCCAAACAGATGGAAATGGCTTGCTTGGAAAGGTATACTATGAGGCCATTAAAATGAGACTTTTGAGCTAGGCATAGTGGTGTGTACCTGGAATCCCAGCACTCGGAGGACAGAGGCAGGCAGATGACTGAATTTGAGCTCAGCTTGTTCTACATGGCAGGTTCTAGTCCATTCAGGTGACACAGGGTGACAAACAAAAAAACCTAAATAAGTAAGTCAGGTTTAAAAAAAAAAAATCTCCTGACACAAAAAAGATCTAATTACACATATTAAAAATGTACAAACCACATTCTCTCTATATGTAATTATATATAATATATTATATTCTCTCTCTCTATATATATAATATGGAAAGCATAATGGATGGTGTGATCTACCCCTTAACTGTTTAGCTGCCTTGAGCCTAAAGAGTCGGCACACCGGCTGTGGTTTCTGATCATGCTCCATTTCTGACACAAAAGGCAACTGTAAGAAGCTGAGTTCCTGAAGAGTGGAGGGAGTGATGCTCAAGGTTCCTTTCACACACACACCCCTGGCCCCGGGGACCTGCCTGTAGATGCCATTGCACTCGTGGTATCTGTTTAGGACAAAGAATAAAGAGGGTTTCTGCAGTCCCCTTCTTTTACTGAAGGGCTTGGGGTGTTTGCACTATGTGGATTTATGTTGGAGTAAGGTCTCTGATGTTCTCTTTGTTTTGGTTAAGAAATGGTGCATAAGCTCTTTACTGCAGTCCAGAGCCACTGGGCATCTTCAGGACACAGGGAAGCAGCCTGCTTGAGAGCCATTCTTTCACACAGGACCTCTTTTTTGTCTTTAAAGCCCTGGAATGAGCAAATGACCTTTGAGGCTTTTGCACAAGCTTTGAAGTCTGCAGAGACTGTATCTTGGGAACTAAGCAGGCATTGAACAAGAAAGAGAAATTACTATGGCCACATGAATTTAAAGTCTTTAACCCTAAGATCTGGTGCGTGTACTCAGAGGAAACAGACGGTGTTTGGCGGTAAGACTGGAGGCCGCGTTCAGCAGTGAAGACCTTGCCCTGCCCTCTGCTGAGGGAACCCAGTCTTTTCCCAGCACCCAGGCAGTGCTGCGGTGCCTGGAACTCCAGCTTTGGGGGATCTGACGCCCTCTTCTGGGCTCTGCTGGCACCTGCATACTCACGTGGCATAGCCACCCAGGCAACGCTTGCGTACACAAGGGCGAGATTTTCGTTTGTTTCTGTTTTTCAAAACAGGTTTTCTCTGTGTAGCCTTGGCTGTTCTGGAACTTGCTCTGTAGACTGGGTGGGCTTTGAACTCACATAGATACATCTGCCCCTGCATTTCGATTTTTGATATTAAAGGCGTGAGCCACCACCCCAGCCTGATTGATTTTTTTTTTTTTTTTTTTTTTTTTAATAATAGACTCTCATTGGATAGCCCTGTCTGGCCTGGAACTCTGTCTGCAAACCAGGCAGACCCACCTGCCTCTACCTCTGCCTCCAGAATGCTGGGATAAAGAAGACCCGGAACACCCCAC